CACCACCGGATTAACTTTAGGTCAATCATGCAAGTTTGGGGCACAGGTCCCACGGAGGTCCTATCTATCAAGTTTCAAAGATACCCAATTAGTTTTCCCAAGTTATCATATTTTCAAGGTCCAGGGTCCCTTTTCCCGGTAAAGCGCCTTTTTTCACGGTAAACACCGCAGAGAGTCGCGGGAGGGATTTCATTCATGAGGGGGTCTTTTTTTCAGGTTGGTTTTTAACGCCCTTTGCCAATACAAATTTAATCTGCTTTTGCTCTCTTATGCCTTAATTGTTTGTTTTTGTAGTAAAAAGAGTGGTTTTCTCAAGTGCTAAAAAATAAGCTTCATTCAACCAGGTCTGTGTTATACTAAACTTTGGTTCCATTCCAACCTCTTGTTTCTAAGCTCTAATTGAATGATTTGTTTTTCCGGGAACCGTTATTATTTGTGCCAGAAGCATCCGAAGGGTCTGCGTTTAATTCTAAAATCCAGCTTCATTTAACTAGGTCTGTCGCATACTAAATTATATATTTGTAAATCCAGGTACCGTTATTAATTTGGGCCAGATGGATCCGAAGGCTCTGCGTTTAGGCTTTAAAGACTCGAGCCAGTTGTTATACTTTTCTAATTATTGTATCGATTAGTCAATACCAAGCTACGTACTACCCGGGTTGACCAAAATTTCTTATCATACAATTTTCATATATGAGAAACTTCTTGTCATACAATTTCATACAACTCCATACGTACAGAAAATTGTATGAAAACTCTATGATAAGCATTTTTCCATATATGAAAATTGTATGATAGGTGTTTTCCCATAAACCAAAAATTTTGATTTTTTCTTTCTGAAACAAGTTTCTGAAAATTTTTCGGTTGTGTTTCCAACCGAACATAAGTGACAAAGACCTTGGTTACTCAAAACGCCAAAGGTTGGACGGTCTTGCATTTAAAAGACATCCCAAACGACCTGAATTTGACTGTCTTTCACAATTCATATAACAAAAGTAACAAACTTTTGTTTTTTGGCAAAATTTTTTAATGATGATTATTTTAAATTTTTGAATTTTCAAGTTATCAGACATTGATCAAGGCATACATCAGCACCCCATACAAAAAAATAGGAATTTCCAGCGTTTTTGAAAAAAAAATGAAAGTGAAAAGAAAATAAAAGCCAATTTTATCGTATCCAGGACTACGTTATGCACACAAAATATTAAATTTTGCATGCAAAAAAAAATTTCCGAAAAGTGTTCGTTTGCCTACGAAATTCGATTTGCGGTTGAAAAAAAATTTTTTTGGGCCAAATTTTCAAAATTTTTTTGTGTCGCCATCAAAAAATGCCAGTCATACAGTTTCCATATATGGGAATTGTATGATAAGCATTTTTTTCAAAAAACGGAAACCTCAGTTTTTTATCACCAGACTGTTTTTAGTAGAATCAAACAGCCACAGAAATAAGTTTTCAACCATTTTTAGAAATTGTATGAAAATTGTAGGACAAGCATTTTTCCACACGCTTGATGTATGGAATTGTATGATAAGCATTTTCGGTGTATGGAGGTCAACCCGGGTACTTATCAAACAACACGTCTTATTTCAGTTGTTTTACAACTCAGTTGTTGAATCTTACAGCAAATTGTTATGCTTTCACAGGCCTCGTCTGAAGGCTAGGGAGTTTTCCACTCCTAACTCAAGTAGGATCAAAGAACAACAATCCGCCGTAAGATTTCAGTCTATATTTAGCATTTCTAGGCATCCTACCAATAACTGGGAAATCACTTGAATACTTTTTTATTGCGTTTTTAAATGTTCCATTAGGAAATTTGAAAATCTAACCCTGGATACATGCTTGAGCACTAAGGCAAACATAGCACGGCAAGCAATCCTTTAGATGATATGAAAAACGGGCGGGTATAAGGGGTAGGGTGTAAGAGTATTAGGCATTTTTCTAAAAATGCCTAAAACTCTTTTTTGGCATGTTTGTATTCGGCGCAGAAAATTTTGTCAAAATAGGGTTTTTATACTGGTTTGGGAGAACTCAGAAAATCAACTTGGACTTCCTAACAAAAATGCAAAGCCGAGAGAAATATTTGAGTTTTTTTTTTTAAATATGTACCTTCGGAAAAATTCTATATTCGTCCCTGACACGAACGCAAAAAAAACTAGTCGTTAAATATATTGAACTCAATTTGAACCAATTTTTTGTTGGGAAAACTTGTCATGTAAGTCAATTGAAGAATTGGCATTGAAACAAAACTTACGCAGCTGTAACGAAGTCAAAGTTTTTTTAGAGCTGACACCAAGTGGCCTGAAAAAGTGTTGTCATAAACGAACTTAAAAAAGTCAAAGTTGCCCAAAATTTTGTCATTACAAAAAGTAGTTGCCAATTTTATTTGCAAATTTAGACCAAAAAATTGAGTAGATTTTCATTGAAGTAGATTCCTTCGTAAATTAACCCAATTAAATCCATTTTGATATGTTATAATCCATTTAAAATTCACTGTACTATATTAGAATTTTTTTGCAAGATTTTTTGAAAACGTTCAATACTTTCTGATGTACTCGCGGGCTACTCAAAGTCTAGATCTATTCAATAAAGGGAACGGGGTGGTGGGGGTGGTGGTAAACGTAGGGGGCTTTGAGCAATTGGAGGGTTGGGAGTTTTAAGCAGATCAGAAAACCTTTGGATGTACTTGTTTCAAGTAGGATTTTTTAATTCAAACAATTAAAGCCAAACAATCAAAGCTCTGAATGTGGTGATAAATTTGGTTGAAAGAAGAATTCCCCGTTTTTTTCCGTTTATCTGAGTTCATTAGCATTTTTGAACTCTCTGCTGGCTTTGCCGGCTTTGCCGCATTTTTGAACTCTCTCTGGTTTTGGTTTTGCCGAGTTAAATAGCATCTCTACTTTTTGTTTTTGTTTATTATAAAAAATTACAAAATGTTATTTTTTGTTTATTATAAATGTCGAATTTTGTTGTATTCGGCGTAGTTTTTCAGTGTTTTTTTTCGGTGTTTTTTTTTTCAATTTTTTGTTTTCCACTCGAAATAAGGTTATATCAGTAAAGATTGGACTGGATTGACTGTCATATCATTATAAAGCCCTTTCAGTGGTGATTCAATCAATTTTTTGTAATTTCCAAAAGAACTTCTCCAGGGTCAAAAAAACCGAAAATTTTGGATTTTTTGTCTAATTTCGAGCGATTGAGCAGACTTACTTTATTTTTATCTTTAATTTAAGCCTTGAAAACCTAGTTTTTGTCACGTTAAGTTAGTATTTGGAGTTTTCAACGCCATTTTTAGGAAAAAACCTCAAATTTTAGAAAACTTCAGAAAAAAAATGATTTTTTTTTTCACACATTTTAAATGGGTTTTTGTTTTTCTAAAACATTTTCAACAAAAACTGTTTTTCAGTTTGCCTGTTCTACTATGACTACTATGACTGTAGAATATGCCTAAGTTCAATTTTTTCAATTAGATTCTTTTTATCACATCCCGCAGAAAAAAAACGACACTAATTTGAAAAAACTTTTTTTTATTTCAACAACTATGGTGTGGACCTTCTGTGCTACTTGCACAAGGACCGGTTGTCCTTGTTTTTCCAATTGTGGAATCTTCATCTATGAAAGGCTGTTCAGCTTGTCCAAGCATTGTCCGTTTCTATTTTTTGTATTGGCAGTTGCCGCCACTGGTGAAGTACACGATCAGAATGACCAGTGGAATAGTAGATGACACTGCCTTCATCGCGCCCGCCTCCTGGAGTCCCCAACCTCGCAATTCCATACTAAAAGATATAAAGCCATACTTGTCAGGACAGCTGTTCCTCATGGACATAATGGAACAAGTCAAATGACCATACATGGCATACCGGTTTTTACAATCTTTTTAAGACCAACCCGGTATTTTATCGCACATCAAACTTTCTTTCAAATTGCATCAAAAAAAGATATCAAACTTGAATTTTGACTATAATAAAAAAAATTTTAATCTAGATTGAATGTTCCGATTGATTTTGAAGCAAGCTATATGCAAGAAATAAAAGCTAATAAAAATATAATTAGAAATCTCTTACAAAATATAAAAAGTAATGGAAAACTAGACACATCTGACTCATTTTGAACAAGGTTGAGTATCGTTATGCAAAATAAAATCACTGATGATTGCATATGGCAATTTGGCATGGACGTTGATTGGGGCAAAATGAGTCAGAAAGTATTGAATGATTTTCGCAATGAGATATAGAGGGTTTTTATTTACTGGAGGTTAGTTGTTTTGCGCTGCCAATTGGTCATAGTTTTTGAAACACCCGGGTTGCTTTTGGGACTCGAACTGACACAATCGTTGTCATTGTTAATAGAAACACTGCCAGTTTGATTCAGATTTTTTAAAAGATTCATATTAAATCGGATTCACGAAAAATTACAGAAAAGCCTGAAAACAGTTTTAAAAATATTATTACTTTGAGCCATATATGGACGATTAATCTATTAAAGGCCATAATCTACATACACAAACAAGACAATAACAACAAAACAACAAGAGTGAAGCGAAATAGCCTTGACCCTTCAAAAGACCCGTTCTTCTGGGACAAAATAGGAGTGTGGATCAAACAGTTTCCCTACGCGTGCTGGACTTTTGATGATTTTGTCAAGAACCTGAGCCAGTTGCTTCCTTTCATGTTTACACTGGCTTGGGTTGCTAGTGTTGCAATTGTGGTAAAAGGTTCGCCAAGTTTGTTAGTCAGTTCCATTTGCTATCAATAAGACAACATTTTTGTCTTGAAGTTTGGTGTGCTGAAGTTTAAGCAACTTTCAAATATATCGAAAGAACCAAAAAAACTGCAGAAATTGGCTTAGTTTTGAGTTTTTATGTCCTAATAGAGAAGCCTCCAAAAAACACGTTTTTAAAAATTATAATTGTCGTGTATATAATCTTCGATGTACCTGTTATCTTAATACTTCTTTGTTGTTTTTTTGCTTAAGAAATTCTAACTCAGCCAAGAAATCAAAGATGTTTATAATTACAGGAGTTGTGTACGAAAAAGAAACGAGGCTGAAAGAAATCATGAGAATAATGGGCTTGAAAAACTCAGTCCACTGGATTGCCACCTTCATCACATCTTTCACCATATTCTTCGCTTCATCTCTCATGCTCGCGATTATTTTAAAGTTCGGCAACATTTTCAAATATGCCGACTTCTTTCTTATACTCTTCTGTTGTTTTTCATTTATATTTCCGACGATCTGTTTCTGTTTTTTAATGTCAACTTTCTTTAGTAATGCTAATTTAGCTGCGGCTGTGGCGGCTATTGTGTTTTTTGTTACTTATTTACCATTTGTGACTTACCAGGCATTTGCGGCTTCTTTGACCAGTTTAGCTGCCAAACTATTGATGAGCTTACTGTCTAATGTCTGTTTTGGGTTTATATGTATGTATATTTTGGGTTACGAGTTGCAAGGTATCGGTGCAAGTTGGTCGACAGTGGGTAGGGAAATTACAGAAAAAGTGAAGTAAAGAAAGAAACATTCACGGATTTGAAAAATCATGAGCAATAGCACAGAATTTACGGATAGCAATTGTCTTTGCAAAGCGAAACCAAACAAAGTTAATCGTATCAAGGCGAAACCTTGAGTAGTTTGGCATCCCTTTAACGTCTTTGGAAACTCTTTTTATTTTTTAACAATTGGCTAAATTTCAAACAATGCAATTTTTTTCAGCGTTTTTTTTTAAATTTATTTTTATTTCTTAAACGCTATTTAAAGTTTTTAAAAAAATTGGGTTGACGTGATAAAAAAACGTGACAGGATCAAAAATTGCTCAAAAATTCACCAAAATTTTTATGGTGATATTTATTTTAGAAATTTGGGACTCAAAAGCTTAGGGTTAATTTTGGCTCCGGTTGCTCAGTCAAAAGTTGTGCTAAAATTACCGGGTCAGTTGCTAAGCAAATTATAACAGTGGGAGCCTCTTACCTATCCAACAAACTTTGCACGGGTTTATTGGATACAAATGAGGCTCCCTTTGATTTAATTTGTTCAACAATTGGCCTGCTAGTTTTTTTTGTAATTTTAAAGCCCGTTTTTGAGATACGATTCTGAATACAAATATTGCAAGTTATAGCGCATATATAGTTTCTGGTAATATTGGAAGCAATTTTTATTCTATTCTTTCATTACGAGGCCAAACTGTGCATTTTGTGAATTGCAAGCGGATTCCGCGACAAGGACGCACCCTGTGTTCTTCTTTTGTTCTTTCATTTTCTTTGATCGTCCGATATTTATTTAACATGCTTAAATACTTGTCTCTGGATCATACAGACACAAAAATTTGGGCCTATCTAGTGCACAATTTGGCCTGTTAATCTTTTGTTGATAATGTCAACACGAGCTAAAAAAAATTGTTTTAAATTTCGAATTTTGTTCATTTTATCCGGCTAAAAAAAATCAGCGTTATAAATAGCCCATGTTCATTTTGGATCATTTTTTAAGCGGCAAAGCATGTTTGTAACACTTGACTTTGCGTGAGCAAAAAGTAAAAAAAATCAGTAAAAAAAAGTGTAGCAGAAGACACAATTCCTCCAAACTTTAAGGGGTCGGAAAAAAACCACAAACTCAGCTAAAACCTAGAGCTAGAACCTAGAGGTTTAAACTGTCAATTAAAGTCTATGGAGTAGCGTGAGCTTTAAAGAAAAATGATAAAATTTTCAACAAATTTTTAAACTTTTTTAAACGGCTTTTCTGTAATTTTTTTAAAATTAAACCCTCGTAAATATATAAATTTTAAAGCAATTTGTTTTTCACATGGCTAAACATTAAAAAGCTTCATAAGCATGCCACTGTTAAATTTGGAACAATTTTTGTTGACATACCAAATCTCTAACGCCTTTATAGAGTCCTGGGAGCGCTCGGAAAAACAATTCCGTTAAATTTTAAAAAGTTCGACAAAAAGCCTCCTCGAGAAAATCCTAGATCCGCGCCTGTTTTGCGTTGTCTTTTTGAGATTTTGAGAGAAAATTTTTTTGGAAATATCGGTATTCTGACATATCCTAAGATTCACATGCAAAAATCATTACACGGAAGACTCAAAGTTAGCTCAAAGTTTTTTCAATAAATTTTGTCTGCAAGTCTGATTTCTGTACTTCCCTTCTTAAAATCAGGACTTAGCCCGTTTATGAACGACTCTGCCAACTTGGGCTATTTTGTTATGATGTTATACGTCGATGCGTTTCTTTACCTCGTACTCGCTTTGTACATTGAACAAGTATGTCCTGGTCGTTATGGCATCCCAAAAAAGTGTTGTTTTATCTGTATGAAGTCGACTTACAAAAAAGGATCATTCGATGAGCATGATTCGGAGTTTGACCCCAAGTTCAAAATTGAGGGAGAGAATTTTGAAACGGAGCCAGATGATCTGCCGATTGGAGTTCAGATCAAAGGGATCAAATTAATTTTATGGTCTTTGATTAAATAATCTAATTAAAAATTACTGTAAGGTTATCGGAGTGCGCTCTGTATTTAGACAACCGCGTATTCATACTCGTCAGTAAGCAGAAAAATACCATATTAACCAATCAGAATCGAGATTAGAAAGCAAATTTACAAAATAAATAATTATTAATAATTCATTTCTTCCTTGTCTCGATTCTGATTGGTTAATACTGTATTTGTCTGCTTACTGACTAGTCTGAATACACGCGGTTGTCTAAATACTGCTACGAAAACCAAGCTTATCCGCCTAAGAAAGTGAATCAATCTTACAAATGAAAAACTGCAGCAAGTTTTTGCTACAGGATAATCAAGAAATGTCAATCATTGTTAAATTTGGATCTAGAATTTTAATCGACATTTTTATGTTCAGAATGAACAAACTTCAGCAGTTTACGTGCATTTTAGCCCGTTATCGACAATGAATTGTTTTTACCAGTTTGTCAAAATCACCAAAATATGCTTTTACAACCAAAAGTTGCTTCCAAAACTTTTTGAGAGACCTAGCTTGATTTGATCTCATTAAAGAACTGTGGAAAACTTACGGAACTGGGAAGAAAGTAGCCGTAAAAGGACTGAGTTTGAACTTCTACGAGAACCAGATCACCTCATTTCTGGGTCACAACGGAGCAGGAAAGACGACAACAATGTCAATCATCACTGGGCTCTTTCCTCCGTCTAGAGGCACTGTGTATATCAATGGGATGGACGTGAGAAAGGCTCAGAAACAGATCAGAAGAAGCATAGGCAAGCAATGAGTTTTTGGTGGTAGGTCAGTAAATCGAAGTATCAGTGAACCGAAAATTCATGATTCAATTACGGAATCACATCAGCTAAAAACTGAGATTTTTACAATATGACAAGTTTGTTCATCAAAGTTTAAATTGAATTAAAAAATTAAATGAAGTAACTCTTCCCATGAGCCCCGTACTTTTGAAATTTTTGTTTTTGCTCAGGGTTAATTTATTCTATAAATCTTTATTTCCGCATTTGTTGTAAATACTATGTAATTCGGTTTACTGATCTGGTAGTTTGCTGACACATCGGCTTACTGCATGCACCCAAAAAAAATATTACTCAGAATTTTAAAAAAAAAGTTGGAAAACTACTCGATTTTCAAAAATAATTCAAGGATTGAAAATTTTTTAACTTTGCATTTATATTGTTATATTTCAGGGGCGGATTTAGGGGGGGGGGCGGGGGGCGGACGCCCCCTTCCTCAGGGATTCGACCCCCTGCCGACCCAAAGGGTCCCCCCTTTGATACTTTTTCAGAAATCCGTTTTTGGCCGACCGACCCTAAAATTTTTCTAAAGGCGCCTTCGGCGCCAATATATACTAACTTTGAGGGGGAGCGCGCGCTAAAAAAAAACGCGAAAAAAACGCGAAATTTTTCAAAAAGTGCCCAAAAACGGCTTTTTTGACTGTTTTTTAAAAAATTTGGCTGCGGCGCAGAAAATTTTGCCAAAATAGGGGCAAAACAGTGCTTTGGGAGAGCTCGAAAAATCAATTTGGTCAACCTAAAAAAAAAAAGGTCGTCAAAAATTTTTGAAAATCCGCCCCCCCTCGAGAAAATCCTAGATCCGCCCCTGTTATATTTTCTCAATTTTGATCAAGTTTGTTGAAGGATGACTTATGTCGAAAGGATCAAAACAATAACGCGACACTTTTTCTCAGTGGTTGTCGAAAAAAAAAGAGAAATGGCAAATATGCGGAGAAAATGATAAGAGAAAGTAGAAACAATATTTTTTACAATTCTATTTCGAATGCATCCTCGAATCAGTTTCCCCCAATAGTCAAATTCGTCAGTAAAAATATTGGTTCACAGTTTTTCGGCAAATTTCTCGTACTTACAGGAATGTGTCCTCAATACAATGTGCTGTTCGACAAACTGACAGTGCTGGAACACATGCAGTTCTACGGCAAGCTAAGGGGGAAGTCGCCTGAAGACATAGAGCGCATGGCCATAGCACTCCTGTTCGACCTCAGTCTGACTCATAAGGCCAGCGACTACAGCAAGAACTTGTCCGGAGGCATGAAACGAAAGTTGTCAGGTGAAAAAAAAATGTTTCCCTTCATTCCTTACAGGGTATAGAATATTGGGTTCGGACTTCAGTTTATCATCACCGGTCATTGATCATTCTAGCATGAGAACGGCATACCTATAAAAATTTAGGGGATCTCTTCAACTGTTTACCCCTTTGTGCAAAAGTCGAGAGATTCATTACTAGGTATAAAACTTACATGTGCTCAGGGGCGAATTTAGTGGGGAGGGGGGGGGGGGTTGAACGTCTTTTCCTTTCAGGGATTCGAACCCTTGCCGACCTTAAGGATGACCTCTTTGTAATTTTTCGAGATATCCATTTTTGGCTACAAAATTAAATAAATTGAGGTGAAGTGCGCGCCAAAAAACATGATTGTATGTTCAAAGTTTTCCAAAAATGCCTGAAAATGTCTTTTTTGGTCTGTTTTTTTTTAATTATGCCCGCCGAGAAAGTTTTATCCTGGTTTACCTAACATGGTGTTGAAGCAACTCTCAAAAGGTTTTATTTGGCTGGCTCTACAAAATTAACGAATGTAGTTTTTTTTCCATTTTAGTTGCCATTTCGTTCATCGGAGACAACAAAACAGTCATCTTAGACGAACCAACAGCAGGCGTGGATCCACATAGCAGAAGGGGCATCTGGGAACTACTCACAAAGTACAAAGAGGGAAGAACTATTATTCTCAGCACTCATTTCATGGACGAGGCTGATGTGTTGGGAGATAGAATTGCTATTATATCAGATGGACAGTTGATTTGTTCAGGTAAATCCAGAAAACTTTCCAAATTTTTTCGTTTTTAACCTCAATTTTTTGAATTTTTTTAAAACTCATTTGAAGTTTTTCACCTTTGCTAAAATCGTACATATGTTCATAGCTAATGTAAAGGCTGAGATTTGTTATTCTAAATAGCGAATCTGATTATTTACGTGAATTGTGCTAGTTAGGATGTCTGGCAGCGGGCTAGACAAAATGTCAATCAAAAGTGACCTTGATACCAACTACGAGTCTTAAAGTTGAGTTTGATTGAACGTGATGTAAGCGTCCATGAACGTAATACAAACCATTATACAAATCTCTTTTTGTTTTATTGTCCTTTTTCTTCAGGAAAACTTCGAAAGTTTGATTTTTTCGTTTTTATAGGAAAGTTTCTTAAAAAATTGTTCACGCCAATTTTTCTCTTTTTTTGTTGTTTTTGGTCCTATACTTGTTCTGATTTCAAATAGAAACAGAAACATGAATTATTTTATTGCGTTCACAAAATGTGACGCCGCCGCCACCACAAAAGAAATATGTTTTTATTCCCTTGCAAAAGGAAGGGAAATGCTATTGGAATAATTCGTATAACGTTTTAAGCATTGAGAATTGAAACGACTATTCTCGTTCAATGCGAATAATAACGATTCCTCTCGTAAAATACGAGCATACGAAACCTTCTTCTCGTAAAAAACGAATGTACGAATAGAGAATACGAAGTAAGAAGTAACTTCTCATTTGATACGAAAAGTGGCGTGATTTCCCCATCTGAGTATAAATAGAAGCTCAAAACTACGGGAATTCATTCCCAACAATATCCTCTTCTCATACCAACACCACTCTCTTCAACCACCCCCAACCAATCTCTAAAATAATATCTACTCTCAGTAAAAATATATCTAATCTCACCGTTAAAACAGATATTGAGTCAAAAGGCAACTTGCTGTAAATTCATACTAACTTCTTTTCTAATAAAATACTTCTCAGCGAATTTTAGATTTACTTTCTAAGATAGAAAGTAGAAAGGACCCTTTATTCCTAGCAATCGTTTTGTCCGACGTAAATAGTTTTGCTAGCTTAATAAATTGGTGCGACCATTGAGGCACACCTTCTAAAAATTCGCAAAAACCTGCTTAAGTCTCAAAAAGAGATAAAAAAGCAAAGATTCCAATTCTCAAACTGGAGAATTGTTGAAATTTCTCTTACAAATAAAGAGAAGTAATAAATTTCCAAATCGGAAATTTAAGTTTTCTAGACAAATTTATAAATTTTTCTATCTTTCTTTTTAAAGTTTAAAACTAAATAATAAAATGGCTGATACCCCAATATCCCATCCCAACTTGTCTTTAATGACATTTTCGGGAAACGATCCGAACCAAAATGCTACAGCATTTTGGAATTCAGTTGAAAACAAAATTCTTTTCTCATTAGGTCAAAGACCTGCTGATAATGATGCACGACGCAGCTATGATAGCAGACAACGATCCCTATTCGGATCATTGTTAACTGATACATCTCTTGAATGGTTCAATGATAATGTAACCAATGCTACCACATGGGCACAACTCAAAGATCTCTTCCTAAACAGATTCACTGACGGACAAGATCAATTCAAACATAGAATTGATGCTGAAAATGCAGCTCGCCAAGATGGCGAATTAATAAAAAATTACTTCCACAGAATTAAATCTTCTGTAGATAGAGGATGGCCCGAAAGTATTGATGTAACAGTTCATGTTGATGAAGCTGCTCAAAATGCTGAGAGAACTATACAAACCAGACAAAGAAGTCAAAAGTATATCGATTTCTCAATTAAGGGACTAAGACCTCTAGCCCTTAAACAAAAAGCTCATGAATACATGATAGAGCATCCAAATGCCAATTGGGATCAATTCACAAATCATGTAATCACTAAGGATCTAACATTCATTGTTGCTACTGATCCTGCTAATAAGTCAACAACAGATAAAATGACTTCATTAGAAACTCAAATTAAAGAAGTAACTAAATTGATCAAGAATCAAGAAGTTAGTGCAATCAATGACCAGACTTCATTTCAACGACGTCACCCTGACATCAAGGGAAGACCTAATAGTACACGATTCTGCGAATATTGTAGAATGAATGGACATTCTATATCTAGATGTTCAAAAAAGCAAGTTCAGGACGAAGTAAATATGTTGCGGAAAGAGCTCACAACAAAAAATGAACGAAGAGTTTCATTTGAAACTGATTATAAACGAAATCGAAGACCGAATAACTTCCCTAACCAGAGTAACCCTAACCCAAGTAACCGGTTTTGGGATAACCAAAACAGAACTACTAACAATTCAAATCCTAGCCAAAATAACTATGGCATTCGCCATAATTATAACTACAACGGAAACAATTTCCAAAAGGCTAATGCACAATCGTCTTTCAATAACAAAAGACTCCAAACCTATGATGATAGGTATCCCAGAGAAAACAAATTCAGAGAAAATAAACAAGTTGCTAAACAGTTCTACGGCCAAGAAAATAGGCAATTCAATAGTAACCCTAGAGGTCGACCATATAACACTGGAAGCTATAATAGCAATAACAGTCGAGACTCAACGCGATCTCAATCACCAAATTTTAGATCGAATCAAATACAGTCAGAAATTACCCACTGGGTTGAGGAAGAAGTCAATTACTGTGATGCTATCACTGATTTCTTTCCTTTAAACTATTAAAGTCTCCGAAACCAAGCGATGATAGTAATCCTAAATCAAGGATATATCTTAGCTTATATCATTTTGCCACCGGAGACAAAAATAATAATAGTAGACTTGAAATTGAATTCATGATTGATCCAGGATCAACTTGTAGTATCATAAACTACCCAACTTATCAAGAATTGGAAAAATTAGGTCAAAAAATTACAATTTACCGATCCAAAATTAAAGCAAAGACTTATAATGGATCTGATATACGTATGTTTGGCCATAAAGCTATTCAATCTTTTTTCGACACTGATGGAAAATATCCATCTAACCACAAAGTGTGGATAACTGAAGAAAAGACTGCTAATTTGTTAGGAGTAGACTTTTGTCATCTTTTCTTAAAAGCTCTCTACTTTGATATCCTAGCAGTTGAGCTCAAATCAAAAGGTGTAATATCATACGGGTTGATGAACAACGATAAAGAATATCCTAACGTTTCAAAAATGGTCTCACTTAACTTGAAAGAACCCTTGTTCATTCCAGCACGCTCTACATACTTATACAAACACTTGGCTGAACCAAATTCATACTTCGAAAAAGGGACTACATTCCTGCCTCATAAAAATACAACCAAAACCGAATTGGTTCTCATTAATACAGTTTGTACTCAAATTGAGCAAAGCCTACCTATCCTAATTGAGAATCAGAAAGATCATCCTGTCACACTAAACAAGTGTGTACTAGGCTATGCAGTAACTGATTTTCAAGGATACGAGGATAAAAAATTTGCTATCCACGATTGTGATGAGTTCACAACGAGAATTTTAAATGAAAATTCAGAATTCGATAGCTGTTTCATGCTGAACACTGTTGTCAATACAACACAGGAAAGCAATACTCAATTATCCGGCCCCTGTCTACAATATGTAGACTTCGAAAAAAGGTCCATATTCGAATCGAATATGCCCATTGCCCATACAATCTCTGCAGATAGAGCAATGAAAAAAGGATTTGCTGAATCAATTAGCAAAAGGTATCATGAGCTACGACACTTTTGTAACTCAATACATGCTAACATTAACGATATTCTCATCTTCACTGATCCAAAATCTGGACAAATCATATATAACCTGATTACCAAACAGAGGTACTTTCAAAAACCCACTTACGACGCTATATTCAATACCTTGTCCGAAATGAAAGATCATGCTATAGCAAATAACATTCGATCTATCGCAATGCCCAAAATTGCTTGTGGCTTAGATAAAATGAATTGGGAAGAAGTTTCCAAAATCATTGTCGATGTATTCCAACATTCTGGAATTACTATATTTGTCTATGTTTCAGGACAAGAAATCAAGGACATGCCTGCCCTTGAAGTGTTTGATACAGAGAATGTATTAGAAATATTTGAACAAATTGGTTCAGATATAGTCAAAGTATGCAAAAACGAAAACGAAATAGCGACCGACTTTTCTAATGATGCAACGAACCTTTGCAGGCCTCCCTTGAAAGAACAATTTAAAAAGTACCGAAACAAAGTACATAATGGTCGGCTAATTGCCTTTCTAGTCAACGAAACGTTTACCCAATACTCCTCAATTGATAAGGACAATAGTAGTACTTGGGAAAAAATCGAAACTACTATTAAATTGTTATCTGACTTCGATTTCACCCAAAGTGATATATCGGATGATGAAATTGCAGATCTAATTCAAATGCTGATAGAGGATCAAGATGTTTATTCTCATCACAAATATGATATTGGAAAAAAAAACATAAATTCCATATACCACTCAAAAAGGACGCAACGTTCAAAAAACAACGACCGAGTAAAATCCCAGTCCATCTAAGAGATAAATTGGACAAGTTAAAGGATGAATTAATCCAAGCAGGCATAGTCAGAGAACTAAATGAAAAAGATGATATGAGCTCATGGTTCGTAAATCCAGTCATCATTCTTCCAAAAAAAGACTACGTTATGTTGGTCTTGGATGCTGGGTATCTAAAGTCAATCACAGATACTAGCAATAGTAGTTGGCCATTAGAACCACTACAAGTTCTCATGACCCGAATAAACGGATCATACTTCACAAGTAGTGATCTCTCTTGCGCCTACCATCAAGTACCTCTAACAGATGAGGCCCAGAAATTAACAAGCTTTATTGTAGGAGGTAGACAATATACCTAACAAGTTGGTTTCTATGGTTTGAAACCACTTCCAAAATTCTTCAGTAAACTAATGAGATATGCCTTCGGACCCCTCATTAAAGAAAAAAAAGCAATTACTTACATATACGACACTCTGTTACAGAGTCAAAGTAA